GTTTGATGTCCCACAATCGTGAGGCATCAAAGGTAACTATAAATAAGAGTTACTTTCATCCTGCTCATCAGCACTACACTGATGAGGCCCATAAGGCCGAAACGGTACCGTCTGTAGTTAGATATCGCTCTATGGCCTTTAGGTCATATTGAGCGCTCTACAGGATGAGCCATGCCGCTTACGCATTGCGCACGCTCACTGCTTGCAGTTTGAGCGCTCTGGCATGGTTTGATGTCCCACAATCGTGAGGCATCAAAGGTAACTATAAATAAGAGTTACTTTCATCCTGCTCATCAGCACTACACTGATGAGGCCCATAAGGCCGAAACGGTACCGTCTGTAGTTATATATATATATATATATATATGTTAATAATGAGAATCCTTAAATGTTCAATAATTCCGGATTTGACCAGTCCTAATCTCTGCAACAAAATATATAATATGTTGTCCTAATCGCGATAGACATAATTTTCCTGATAGCAAAATATTGGTGTCTTTTATCAAGACCTAGATCACTCAACATATTTAAAAAGGAATGACATTCTTTTGAGAAAACGCCTAAAGAACTAATTGACAAATTTACAAATTTCACAGAGTTAAATTGTTTCTTTTGCTGTGTAATGAGATCTTTGTATCTTCTGCTTTTCCGATCAATATTTGTTTGGAGATTAGACTAATAACCAACAGAAAGTTCAAGGATATAGAGACAATCCGAGTTGATAGATAGAAGTAGGCCTGGGCGGAATGTGTCACCAGTTACAATTGATGGGCTCTTGTAACCAGGAAGATCGACGAAAAGATTGGAGTAGTTGACAGGTTGTAGGGTTTGTGCGATGAAGCTCAGGACAGAATCATGTCTCCATGTAAATCATGGGAGGTACGTTTGACATCCAGCGACTACATGTAAAAGGGTTTCAGTTAAGCAGAAGGAGCAATCAGAGTTGTACAATATTCCCCATTTAGTAAGGTTTTTACGAGTTGGAAGTGAGTTATTGATGTAACGGATGGTGAAATTATAGATGTTCTTTGGGAGGTTTGATTGGGATTTAGACCATATGCCATTTAATTTCGACAGCGAAAAGTGAATGACATTTGAAAAGAAGGATCCTTGCAAAATCAGATGATTCTGCAATTTGTCTTGTTGTCCGGAGGTAAAACTTTTAAGGACTTCCTTTGTCAAAGTGTAAACGTCGTACTGAATGTTTTTATTTTCAGATTTTGTTTTCCAGAGATTTTTTATGGGATGATTTGGAGAGGTCTTTAAGGCGTTACGAGCAACTGTTGGGCACTGAACAAACTTGATTGACGGCGGGTAGATATTTTGACCAAACTTGTTACTGGTAAGGTAGACGTTAGATAAAGTTCCTGATTTAGGTATTTCAAGCCATTTACGTACAGTACGTACTTGTTCACCACAGAATCCATATTTTCAGAGACCCAGGTTTTTCATAAGGTGGTTACAGTAAAATGTCAGGAAGGTTTGGATAGGAGGTAACGGCTATAAAGCAAAAGTTTATTTTTCGGGTGCAAAGGTTTGAGATCAATTTCAGACATAATGTCGTCCATGAGAGTGATTAGCTCTTGTTTGTGTTCTTTTTCGGACATACTGAAGTTAAAATATTTCCCCAAGTATCGAAACGACTCTCCAATTTTAGTGGCAGGTATCAATTCATTGTTAATCAGAAGTTTAGGTAAATATTGGACAGATTTTGTCAGACTTTTCCTAATCCCAAATGTTGAACACTTATCAACCTTGACAATCATGTTAGACCACTGGCACCAGATCGAGAATCGATTTAAAAGATGTTGATTTTCTGAATCTTGACCGCTTATTACCGCAGCATCATCAGCGAACTGTAACCAATGGACTGGGTTTAAAAGATTTGTAATGAAACCAAATTGAATGTATTTGTCAGTTTTTATATGTTGAATAAAGGTATTGATGCACATTAAAAATTAGAGGACTAAGACAGTCTCCTTGAAGAACTCCACGACCGACAGTGATAAATGGGGTAGAGAATTCTGATGTTATAAATGCAGTATTGAAGTCCGTATACAAGCTCTTTATTATTTCACTAACGTCTTTGGGAATGTGATGATAGTTGAGGACAGATTGAATTAGATTATGATGCACTTCACCAAAAGCATTCTTGAGATCGAGAAGGGTGATGACAACAGAGCGCTGCTTTATTCTCGCTTGGTTGATAATATTTGTCATTTGAGCAGTGTGTTCCAGAGTGCCAGACAGATTGGGAGTGAAACCTTTTTGAATCTGATGTTCAATAAAGTTATTAACAGTTAGGAACGAGAACATAGCATTGCGGAGGCATGATGTAAACACTTTTAGTGGTATAGTTTCTAGAGTAATTAGGAGAGGGCGGAAATTGGAGGGGCAACTTGTATTGCCTTTTTTATGGATAAGAATAGAACACGCTTTTTTCCATTTAGCTGGTACAGATTTCGAAGACCAGACGCTAAGTATCACTTCGGTTAGATAAGTGCGCAAAAATGGACAACATTTGAAGCAAATTATTGAAAGTTGATCTAGAGGACAAGGCGATCCAGAAGCTTTCATTCTGCCAATACTATTTGTAACTTGGCGATATGTTGGGGGTTGAAGGTCGAAGTTTACGATAGGATCGGATAACTTCGGAATCCAGCTTGGAATATAAAACAGTTTGTTTGGGTTAATTGAACATAGAGTTTTCTTGAAATAGTTTAGGCATTCTGGCATTGGAAAGCATGGAAGTACGCAAGTGTTCTTATTCAGGACATATTTTATAATAATAATAATAATAATAATAATAATAATAATAATAATAATAATAATAATCCTACACTATAGCAATCTAGCACAGGACATGCAATTACCTTCAAGTTGTTTTATCCTGTTTTCCTCCACCTCAAGTTGATCGCTTGCATTAGCAGGAAATGAAGATGGTGCATCATCTGGCATTTCCCCTTCCTCAAAGAATTTCTGATATTTTTCCTGAAATATTTTCAGTTCATTACAGTTATATATACTGCTATAGCAACTATAAACGGATGCGACAAGTTTATGCCAGTGTAAAGAAGTTTTTGAAGAAAAAGTATAGACTTTATATAGCATTCACCTTGTCAGATTTTGTGACTTCCGATGTCCGCGCAACTGCTATGTCTTTACACTACAAGAGGAAGAATTAAAGCATGCATGTGAATTTTAAAATTTAGAAACTAGGAATTACTATCGCACGGCAAGTGCTTCCTCGACCACTAGGCTCCATCGCAAGATATAAATCTGCAAAAGACAGGAAGTAAACTGAGCTACTTCATGCAGTTCAAAATGCCGATAACGCAATGAATGAGCATTGCTTTCCTTGCCTGAAGTGAGCGCTTCAGCGCTTAGCAAGAATTTTGCCTGGTTGCTTTTTGTACTCTTCTACTAGTGGACCTTTTGTCTATTTGCTTTTTTGTACTCTTCAAACATACAGGGTTTACTCTGTCATATATAAATGGAACATGTGATCACACAAATACGAGAATTACTTTGTGAGCTAGTTATCTTAATGGACACGTGACAACAAGTATATTCCCGGAAATCAAAGTGAGCATATTAGGTTGGAGCTCGAGTGATTTGAACGGGTTGCATAAAGAGAGCAGCAAATTTTCAAATTGCCGGCACTAAACTGAAACATCAATATGAATATAACTAAGGTCTTCTGATATTCTTCTTCTGGTCTTCTTTCACAAACCATTGAATATGATAGTGTAACAGGATCGCGAAACTCGCATCGAGAAGACTAATCATCAGACTTCACACTTGTAACATCCGGCCGCGGGAGAAAAGCGCACGAAACAATTTGAATCGTGAATGTTCATGGCTAAAACTCGCTCCCCGAGAAAGCGTGCTCTGGCACTTTTGATACTGCTTGACTTAAAGAGGCTGTCAAGTTCGTTCTGCTCATGCGCGTATTTTATTTACATTTTTTGTTTCAAACAATAGATAATTTAATTAAAATTCCGAACTGTGGGTCCACAGATCGGGATTTGAATTAAATTATCTATTCTTTGAAACAAAAAAATGTAAACAAAACACGCGCTTGAGAAGAACGGACTTGACCTCGTTGTGGACCAGGTATCATACCCTATCCAAAAACAAAATACAATTATGCGGGAGAGCATTATCCAGGACGAACCAATGGCTGTCACCTTACGATTTTTAACAACTGGTGAAATATTTAAATCTCTTGAGTACAATTTTCGTATTAGTCGCACAGCCATTTCACATATTGTCATCGAAACATGCAAGCCAAGCCATTTCAATTTCATGTAGCACGAATGACCTTGAGTATTGAATTTGATGACCTTGGGTATTATTCTTCCATCTGATTGGTTGCTTGTTCAAAGTGTTTCTATAAACGCCTGTACGCAGGCTAGGTGTTTCGAAACATTGCGAGACAGGTTTAACGAATGCATGGTGTTACACGGTGCAATGCCAGCGAAAGGAGCTCGCAATCGTTGTGAAAAGTTGAATCTTATCAACTTTTTGGGAAACTTAACTTGCAAAGGAAACTGACACAGGTTCGCGACATGGAAGGGTATTGCACGTTGCAATGTGTCACGAAACTTGTCTCGCAACGCCGTTGGATCGTCTCACAAATCGTTGGATCGTGCAACAGAAGCTTAAATTAAAAATGCCCTTAAAATCAATCACCCGAGTGCAAAAATTTGAAAATAGCTGGGTTAAAAATGGAATGATCAAAACACGATGAGGCAAGTTTAAAATCTGGTTTCAAAGGCAAATTAAACTAATTGATATAATATACTAAGTTCACCGCTCGAGCGCTAAGACTAATTGCAATGTATGCAAATATGAACAAGAATGGAAGGAAATTTAATCAAGAGCAAAATGCCAATGACTTGCCTCTGAAGACAAGGAAACAACTCGTTCCTATATTATCATTATGTTTGTTGTTATTAAGTTTTAAAGAGGCCGCAGTAATTGGCTGGCGCTGTTGAGGATTCCCTGCCATGTGCTAATAATTAAATATTGTACAAGGGCTAAGCTATTAAATTAAATTAAATTCATGAATAGTCATCTTTCAAATATTTCGCCAATATCTCAATGCCCGTGAGAGTCAGGAAATTTTTACGACTTTCAAATAGTCTCGTACTTTGATGACCAGTCATAAAGCACTTTTCAAATCTTCAGTCTTGTGCGTAAACCACCATGTTTTAATATGGTTGGCAAAAGCAGCTATTTTTGCATTATATAAATTATAAATATTCATTATTGCCAAATTAAAAATTCCTATATCTTCTTGGCCATTTGAAAATTTTCCACGTTTTTTAGACACTCTGTAAAATGAATCCCTAACACGCCATTTTTGCCCATACAGAAAGGATTATCATTGGACGAATTGTATTGCTCTGTAATAGTTATGATTACCTTCTTTTTAAGAGACCTCAGATAATTCAGTAGATTTCCGCCTTTCGCGTATTCCAGGACTAGACATATTGGACGATATCGTGTGCAACAGCCATACATCTGAATGACATTTTTATGTTCCCCAATGTCCTTCATCAACTCAATTTCACGTAAGAAATCGCTAAGTTCCTCCTCACCGGCAGACTCTATAATATTTGTTGAATTTACCCAGATTATCAGATTGCTCAAATATAGGTATACACACATATACACATGCATGCACCAATATTCAATAACCGCCAACAACAACACATATAGTTGCACCATTCTAATCATATAAAGGTCTGGGGCACCTCTCACAGAAAGATTTTGATTCACGATGACTTAATTTATCCCATATTCTGGAGCGGGCGTCATGAAAACGACGAGCAGCTTCTAGGGGATACTTTCGTAACTGCACATTTTTAAAGAACTGCATCTGCGCACAATAACAATTGCAATCATATACTAATGATAATCCATGCGTTTTCCTTTGCCAAACAAACATTATTACGATTGCGTGGGAAAAGTCAAGGATTGCATGTTACTTCTATAACAGTCATTCGTATATCTGACAACTCATATATCACACAATTATAAAATATTTTATCTGTGTACGTCTTAACCTGAAAGTGTTTTGATTGCAACGGTTGTCCATTCTGGGTTTCTATTGACCAAATGCGCTTCACCAACATACACTATACCAAATGCTCCTTTACCGATGATACCCCGAAATTGTACTGAATCACCAGGCAGTTCCAACAAATTTATTGATTCCAATAAATGTTCTGGTATCTCATGTACATTATCTTGCGAAACATAGAGTAAATTCATCACTCTTTCACCGTTTTCATCTGCAGGAATATCATTGTCAACACTATAATACATAAAATACAGTAAGTAAACTGTTTATCGGGTTATCGTTATTGATAAGGTAAATTTCCAATAATGCGCACCTATTTGATCTCCTGTTGGTATTAATTTTGCACCCGGCTCGATAGAATTTGCGACACTTAACCGCCCGGTTCATATTGGAGCACCCTGTAGCGTGCACAATAAAACTCGTATGACACCAGAAATAAGATAGCGTAGGCAAACACGAGAAGAACTGCTTGAATGTTCCATATGGTATGGTACTTTTTAATTTCTAATTTCTAAAGATAATAGGCCTACCTTCTATTGTTTGAAAATAGCTGGTGACATTGATTAATCACATGATTTGCCCACGCAAACGACCACAGAATTGATTTTAAAAACGGAAAAGTAATTGACAGGGGGAAGCTATCGACACAGATCGACATTAGAGTCTTGGCACACTGCATGCACGAAAGACGCCGATAACAACTCAAAACATTTGCCAGAACAATATCGCTTTTTGCTCAAAAAACTTTAAATTCTGCACAATATATAATTAGTCACCAATCTTCTACGTAGGCGGAACTGTTAGCAATTGTCTTATTGTGTCAGTAAATATAATTGTAATTCGCCATTTTATAGCACTATTCACTTTGTATCATATCTTATATCACTAGCACATTATTAATCTACCCGTCGAAGACAGCAGACTGGCAGTCGAAAGCTTGTAATAAATAAATCTTTTTAACCAGAGAACGTTTACACAATTAATTATGAATCCTGGTTTCGCTTCCAAAATTTTTAAGTGTAAAGCCTATTTCTTAGTTCGATTTTCTCATCTTTACCATGACAATTAGCTTTCCCAAAACCTGAAATGTTGACATTACGTTTACGGACTCATTAAAAAAATTTCGAAAAAATGAAAAGGTCATTAAATTTCCGAGTCAAAGTAATAAGAGTTTGAGATAAATACAAATACTTACGAGTGGACATAAGCAGCATTTTCCAATTTTTTTTCCACTAAATCCATGCGCTTCTTTTGACGTTTGTGTAGCCAAATAATGATACAAACAGCGGTCAGAGTTACAGGTAATGGAGTCAGAACAGCAGCAACTATAACTCCTTTGTTATCACTAGTCCCCATATCTTTACTACCTAATAAAGTTGAGTGAACTTCTTATGTTACCACAGGGAGCCCAAGCGTTGATCTGTGTTTTAATTGAATTATTTCATTACATTACACTAATATGTCATAATAATAATAATACTCCTATTTAGTCGAACATATAATAACAACATATAAGTTGATTTGTATTTGTATGTTTTTTATTTATTTAAGATCTATTATTAGCTTATATAAAAGCACAGCCTTTCGAACCTGACAGCCCTTTCGCAGGATACGCGCGTTATTTCGCACTGAAATAAGAAACGAGACAAGGGATGAAATTACAACACGGCGACGTTTATTTTGAAGCCGTATGTGCTTGTTAAAACCAATTTTAGCTTGAAATTCGGCTACATGATATGTCTAAGGCTAAAGTACATATAGCCATTGAAAAATTTTGTGAAATAAATGCCCTAGAGTCTTATAAATCGCTATAGGTTTTAATAGCGACGTTTCGTAGCATGAGCCCCGACTTGACTGGACCTAATATAGTTCATTTAAAATTTTAAACATTGAAACCGTTACGGTCGACACAACTTAGCTTCTGATCACCTGGAGTTGTAGTCGAGTTTGCTTTCTTGTTTATATCATTGATTCCTAAAGGTTAACGACGTTCATTTGAAACGATACTCATTGCATAATTATCGGTCTACTCAAGTCGGGGCGTTCATAATACGATAAACTTTAAGAGTTTCATCCCTTGTCACGTATTTATATTGTTGCCGCCTCCTATTTCAAATCCCGCGCGTCTCGAAAGGTTCGAAAGGCGGTGCTTTTATAATAGATTTTAATAATAGATTTTAAATAAATAAAAAAACATACAAATACAAATCAACTTATATGCTGTTATTATATGTTCGACTATAGGAGTATTATTATTATTATTATTATTATTATGACATATTAGTGTAATGTTTAGTGAAATAATTCAATTAAAACGCAGATCAACGCATGGGCTCCGTGTGATACATACAATTTTAAGGGCCAGACGTACATTTGATTTAGTTTAATTAAGAAGGGTAGCCTACGTCGCGGTTTGGTAAAAGCATCCGATGTGCATGATTTTTTCAAAGCATATAATGACCATACAGATGTATTACGAATTAGAATATCGATATGCAAGATATTTGTCCATGGTATAATTTTTGTATTTGAAACTTTGTCACAAATTAAAATCCAACATCGAAACTGCATAATTGACAGACTTTGTCACTATAATTTTGCAGTAAATTGAAATTTAATAATTAAACCACTAGCTATATAACCGAGTATTTTCTTAAAATACAATACAACGGTAACTGCGAATGAAGTAAGCATTTTGATTCAACGTACATTTCGACTTTGTTTAGTCATCATTAACAATTTAACTATCTGACAAATCTATTACAACTTAACATAGACGAACCCAACACTGACCAATTTGACCTAACAGCCTTCTTACTGAACAACTGCGACATCATAGATAGGGCTAAGCACTGGTCAAATCTGCTGTTCAAAGAAGCACTCGCCTTCCATCGACAAAAACCTGAATCATGGCACTAAAGCATCCCGAGAATTAACTATCGGTTTTCTTTTAACTATATCAAATTACGTAGAGTATATATAACGCATGCAAATGTAATATAATCATTCCTGATGATGACTAAATAAAGTCGAAACATTTAATCAAAATGCTTACTTTATTCGGAGTTACAGTTGTATTGTATTTTTGAAATTTAACATTCTTTAGATCTATATTTACCAATTGAATTGATGAATATTGAAAAAGACGAATTTAAAAATATTAGTTTTAAAATATATAATATTTAAATTTAAAAAATATTGTAATATTAAAATAATTTAGTATTTTTTCTCAAGTGAATATAACAAATCCGACAAGTTGATTTGGTGGTTTTCGTCAAGACCAATCTAACATGTCTAAAAATGTAGAACATTAATTTTTTCTGTGTTGGTGTGATGTACTCAGGTGAATAAATTATATGATGCTTGTGATGTTACTCTGAGTGTATATATATCTACACCGGGCAAGCTTGAAAAATGCCTGGCCACGGTGGTAATCGAACCTACCACCTTTGGAATACTAGCCCAATGCTCTGCCAACTGAGCTGCTCGGCTCAAGCACACGACATTTCGTAACTGAGTCTAGTTCCTTATATATATCGATGTAATCTATAGTAATCATTTTTTTCTGTGTTGGTTTAAATGTACTTACTAGATTACGCCGATATCAATGTTGCGTGCTCGAACCGAGCTGACCGACATTTATAAATTTAACTTGGTTAAATTTTTTACCTATCTGTCCCAATAATTCTATTGCCCATCTGTTTAGGTTTTTGCGCTTGGGAAGAGAGTTGTTAATGTAACGAATGGTAAAGTTGTAAATGTTTTTGGTAGCTTTGATTGGGCGACGGACCACGCCTTGTACTTGAGCTGAGGTAAAGCGAACTTCGTGACGCTGCAGAAAAAGGATCCTTGACTGGTTAATTTATTGATTTAGGAGTTTGTTTTCATGTCCAGAACGAAAATCTTTGAGAACTTCTTTAGTAGAGTTATAAGCGTCATATTGGATATTAGTATGGTTACTAGTTGCTTTTCACAGGTCGTTAGTTGATTCATTAGGAGAAGATTTTAAAGCTTTTCGGAGGACTGTTTGACACTTGATAAATTTTGCAGATGGAGGATAAATACTCAGGCCAAATTTGTTATTTGTTAGAAAGAGAATACTTAATGTTCCTGATATTGGTACTTCAAGTCAATAGAATAGATATTTTCAGTAACCCATGTTTTAGAGATAGTTGCGACGGTGAAGTGCCAGGGTAATTTGGACAAGACGAGGAGGAGGAGACGAGGAGGAGTAGTTTATTTTGAGGGTGTAGGGGCTTTGAGTCAATATCAGTCATTAGTATTTTTGAACAAGTGAACGTAACAAATCCTACAAGTTGCAATTGATTGGTTAAATTTGACGTATTAAGCTGTTAATATATTCACCTATAGGTGAATATAACAAAACCGAAATTATCAAAATGGCGGATACCCGTTTTGTGGACGTTGTTATACTAATAAAAAATAAGCGAAATTAAAATAAATTCAGTCCCAAAAAAACACAAAAATACTAAAACAATTATTCGCCTCAGGCTCGGTGATTATCGGGGAATATTCACCTCGACTTCGTCTCGGCGAATATTCCCCGATAATCATCTCCCCTTCGGCGAATAACTGTTAATTAATACTAACGCTAACCCTAATACTAACCATCGCCGTCACAATCACAATATTTAAATTTTGTTATTACTTTTATTATATTTAAATTTATTACATTATATATTTTTTTTATTGTTTCCGAGCCGACGGCGCGAAGCGCCGTGCGAGGGTACTAATTCCCCCCGGCTATTTACACCCGGGGAAACGAAAGCATTAGCGAAGAACAGGGTGGACTTTTGTCGACGCTGCATAAAAATAATGCGGGGTCGTGAGCTTTTTCCCGCGAATCTTGCTTTTCGATGTTTTGCTTACAATTTCTAAGGATGTTGAAGTTTACAGCATTGTGATTCACTGTTTTTTTAAAGCAATGGCGTAATTTTTGTTGTAAGTTATATACTAACTCTTCAACAACCTAATGACTGTTTTTAAAGCAAAGCAATTAAAAGGAAAACTTATATTTTCACACGAAGAAGATGAGTGGCGATATTTATGTTGTACTGTTTTGAGCAGATGCTTCGAAGAACATGATATGATCGGACCTTGTATCTTAAAAGTGTACTTGGAACAGCCGAACAAAGTGGTAAATTGTGTTACCCGGTGTGTTGGGCATCATAATTCACAGGAACAGTACACAGTGGCGTTCGAACTGGCTATGAAATATCGTGAATACTTCGTCGAGTTCTCTACCGCCATGTGACCTGTAGTTTAATGTGGCATGCGTCTTTGAAAGGGCTTTACTTGACTTTAATCGACGTGTAAGGTATAACCATAGGTAAGCCAACATTTCTTTGTAATGCAAACTACATTTTCATATCTTTAATTAATGTGTGAATATTTTTAATTTTGTAAAAAAATAAACGCAATATGTTGCTGGAGAAAGTATCGAGTGCTTCATAATAACGCTCAGATCTTGTATACAGATATTCGTTATTTATTCAAAATCTACCCTTTATCACCACTTTTTTTATTCTTTTATGTTAAAGTATACATAATCCTTGACTTAAAAACACGATGATCTACTCGAGGAAAGTTGGGCAAAATGGCGATCTTTGCAGAGAAACTTGACCGTTCGGTGAAATTGGTAGTTCAGAGACCCTATTTTCATTGTAGTATTTCTTGGCAATTTGTTGGCCGATTTCTAGTTTATATTGTAGAACGGGTTGTTAGTGAATTAAATTAATTGTCTATTCGCTACAGAGTAGTAATAAGCGCGATTCCTTTTTGTTGACGGATGTTGAATTCAATTTAGACTTATGTTCATAAACAACAACTACACTACCAAGTACTAAATCACTGTTTGCAAAGAAATGAGCCTATATCACCACAAAAATTCAAGCTTATTTTTAGGGTCAAATAGTTTCTCCATGGATAAAAGTAGTTTTTATGAAGTGAAAAAATAGGGCAAGTACGAGTTTAAAGAAGGTCAATGTGCATTTGTATGTCTCACTTCGAAAAGGATATACATATTAAAAACACGTATTTGCACTGCGAAATTAAACTGCTGCAACAAAGTTTTTATTTCTACTTTCACGTTCTTATTCCAAAGCAAACACTTCTAAGTTGAAATGCCTAAAATTGTGAGCGTAGAAACACTAAAGAAACAAGGAAACGACTTCATAACACGAGTAGTTTTGGCAAATTTGATGTTTGCTTTTATAATTTAGTCACGCGATTAACCCGCGCTCACGTGCACTCCACGCGTACGTTTCTCGCGCATGCGTAGACGGAAGTCCACCCTGTTGCTTGGATGTAGATGACAGTAACACCGCGGAAAAACGTCTGCGCATGCGTCAACCTTAGCTGTAATAGTATTGCGAACTTGATGAGAAGCTGTTCCGAACGTTTCCGAAGGCTCAAAATGGCGGTAAAAAGGAGTGACTTCATTGTGCGTCTTTACAACCAGATTTCAAGCGCAAAAATAAACATGTCATTCTAAAAACTAGAAATAAATACAGCCAGAAGGTTCAAGAAATTGTATTGTACAAGAACATGAACTAAAGGTGATTGTTGACAAATTTATCGTCTGAAACATTTTGTTTATCAACTAAGCAATGACAATTTCCGAATTTTCGTTTGAGATACATTTCTTTAAAAAAAAAACTGTGTCGCCAAATATAAAAAATTTGCGTGTTCACAATAATTAAGCTTTAGGATTTATTCTACAATTTGAGTGGGTTAAGAAGCTTAACTTTTCGAGAGTTTTCTTAACTTTTTAGTTTGAATTTTTGTTTTGAATAATTTTGCAAAAATTTTCGAAGTCGTGTCCGTTAAAATCAACGATTTTTTACATGAATTATTTTTCATTCATACTTTAAATGCCAGGACGCTTTCAATTAATGTCTAGTCTACCCATTTGCTATATTTTCTCGTTTGTTTTACTAATTTTTGACCAGTTAATAAGCATGTTTTTGTTTTAGAAATTGATATTCACATTCCCCGCCATATTTTCATAATTTGGTGCATGCGCAGACGTTTTTCCGCGGTGTTCAGTATCCCTGTGTATTTAAGAAAACATTTTACAGTTTTCAAATCGCTGAACGAAATGACCGTGGAAAGAGTGATAAAAGCATGAAATTTGGCATAGACCTTCCCTGGCACCTACCGATGAAGGGTTGCTCATTACCGGTGATATTTTCATATCTTTTCTAGCCTCCTCAGCAAGCAACTCGGTTACGCAGTATGATGGGGGTAATATAGGATCATAAGGGTTATTGTGTGGTGAGGAAATAAGCAAAATAGAGTACTGCCACGCCCCCTCATCACCACTCAATCTGCTAAATATTGCGTAAATTTCGCCGTTGTTTTCCGCCAAGTTGTCTGTGGAGGAGGCTATAGATTTCCTTCTATAGAAAAACGTCAAATTTATTATTTTAAGCATCTCTGCTACAACAACACGGATTGCATGCAGCAAGAGAACGAACTCGCGAAATGGAGCAAAATGGTATATTCCACCCCTCCCTGCGACTTATCGTTTTAGAGAAATTGAATATTCACCTTCACATAAAGTGTAACTCGGAATGCCCAATCTGTGGACATTGTAGATTTTCGAAACTATCTGTAAGCTACAGTATAAGTTATTTACTATGGCATCTGTAGCGTTGTGCAATACAGGTAGCTCATTTACTTTTCATTAGAATAATTCATTTTTGCAACTGCGATTCTGAAATTTGACTTGATATATAAATTTGATACACGTGGTTCTTTTCATGTACAAATATCATAACAACTTGTTGCCACCAACGTCCAACAATTTCTTTACTCCTGTGTGCAATGTTCATTCTCAAAATACGAGGCTTGCTTCCAAATTAACATATATACTACCAAAAGCAAGAACAAATTTCGGAATTTTCAATATCAAATATCAAGGCGCTAAAATTTGGAATTCTTTACATGAATCATATAAAGACTTGCCGATTTCTCAAATTAAATATAAAATTAGAATCGATTTTCTTGGAAAGTATTGATTCAGTTTCCAACTCCAACTTTTTCTATACGTTATCGGGAGTCATGCAGGACTCCTTTCTCGATCTTTTAAATATATTTGATATAGAACTATATATTGCCAATTTTCATAATTTTTTCGTCCTTTATTTGGTTTCCTGATATTTATATAGCCCTGTGGTTATTTCAGGGAGCCAGCTCTCTTTCAAATCTTCTCAAAATTTACAAAACAATTAGTCACAGATCACAAATATATTTTACTAATAATAATAATGTTAACTATAATTTAAATAATTTCTTTGTGTATATAAATTGCAATTTGAAAGGAGCAAATAAATCTTGTATCTTGTATCTTGTATCTTGATATAGGTAAAAACACAAAAATCCTCCTGAAAATGGTTTCAAAGCAGATAAATTTTGGGCATCCCTCCCAAATAGGTGCCAATTGAAAGAAGCCCTTTGTCAAATTCCATGCTTTTATCACTCTCATGGCAAAATTTTGTGATTTTCCACAGTTTCACTTTTTATGTGGCTTTGTATACTTGCAGGATAACCACAAGTATTTTAAATCACGTTATTATCCGTCTGGTGAGAGATGGTGGTTTGACTTGAACGATGGATCTGGGACACCAAAACTCCATGTTGGGCTAACGAAAAATTTGCAGTATTCTGATGTAAGTTCAATATTCATGCAATAGAGAGATCTAAATTAATTCGACCTTTGTATTTATTCATACTAATTGAACTTTGTATATGTTGATTTTTCTTATTTAGACTATCAAAACTTCATTTAGATTTCCTTATTATGGACATGTAATCAATAAAGTTACTATTACTAATAAGGGTAAGATAGTAATAGATACAATCGTTCGTTTTGTATAGCATGCTATTACTGTACAATTTTCGCTTTTGTTTTGACTCCAGCAACTTCGTTATAGACAGTATAGATAAGAAGCAGCACATGCCTACACTTAGGAGGGTGTTAGAGGGTGTTTATATGAGCCCTACATAAAGCAGGGTTCGAATTCGAATTACCAGTGCATGTGCAATGTGCAATTTGCACATTGTTTTGGACCAAATAGTGAAAATTGCATATATATTTTCTAAACGATGTGCAAAAAATCAGACTGAGACTATTAAATTAATGAACGCCATCCGTATTTATAGATTTAAACAATTAAGCCAATCTAGTTGTTTTTTATTTATTAAAAAGTACTTTTGCATGCACACTACTGTAGCAGCATGTTTGGAGACTGGAAGGTGTGTAAAATTTTAGCCACCGTGACAGACAAGTACATGACTGATTGATGTTATGTGTTAAGTTTGTATATCAAAAATTGCAAAAATGTTCGAAAACTATTCAAATCATTAAATTATTGCAGTTTGATTGAACGTAGTCAAACGACTGGGTGGCTGAGACAATCATGAACCTATTTTATCAAAATTTAGAGCCATGTTTTTTTTAAAAGTTGCACATCATTTTTTCTCAACTATAATTCGAACCTGTAAAGGACTAGCCCTATAGCAGTAGGGCTGATTTTCGCCGCGTGTTTATACATGAAAAAAATCAGCCCTACTGCTAGGGGGCTGGCTTCCTTTTAAAAGTAGCACTTAATATGGTTTCCGTGCAACTCATTTTTATTATGGCGTCCAAAATCATAGTTTGCCGACTAAATTTTTGAATGTTCGTTTAGAACTACTGCATATTTAAAGCGAAAAAAGCTTTAAAAAGTTTCGTTCGAAATCAATGCGAAATCAATTCAATACTCAGCCCTATATTGTATGAGGGCCAACCCTCCCTACTGCGTTTATACAGTATGGAAAATTTCCAGCCATATATATACTAGACGAAATCTCGCCTTGACAACAGCGAGGTCGCGCCTAGTAGGGCTGGCCCTCCTCTCATGCAAACGCAAACAATTTTTAATAGGGAAATGTATTAACAAGCCGGATCTCGCCTATGTAGGGCTCATATACTGTAAACAGGGCCTTAGACTTGCTACAAAGTCCGTATTCTCTGACCAAAAAAGTCGCTGAGAAAACGATTTTTGTTGTCCACATTCGGGCACTAAATTCTTTTGACATATTTCTATAGATTTTTATACGCTGAGTTTCAAATCAGTTGTTGTCACTTGCACAAACCTGCAGTTTTCTTGTATTTTGCGATCAAACATCACGAATTTTCACTCCCTGAAAATCGAAAGCCGCCATTTTGTTTTGAGGAAACTTCATGTTATAAAATTTAAATGTACCAGTTCCAGTCGTTTTTACGCAGATTTTTAACGCGGTTTTGCGCAATACTGATTATTACTCTGGGGCCAGCTGTTCAAAGCTGGGTTAGCGCTAACCCAGGATTAAAATTTAACCCACTATTTTGGTTTTTCTATTTCTGTGTGTCTGTTTATTTCAAACCTTCGGAAAATAAAACCTCAATTGATCTAAACAAGATTCCTGCAAAAATATTTCCAAAATTTATGAAAAAGCAGTAAAAGATTGCTTTGAATTTCATGCTAACCCTTGGTTAAGCTAACCGGCTTTTGAACAATCGGCCCCTGATGATATGTGGTCACAGGTTGCACTAGGATATTCTCTTTAAGAGTTAAGCAATAATTAGATTTGTGTTTTCTACTTGTGGTGTTATTTAGCACATCTGTAAACTATTTCATTGCCTAATATCGCATTTAATGATATCCTCAGTTTGTTTGGTTTGGTATAAATATAATTATAGACGAAATGCGCTAGATATTTTAGGGGTTTTCCACATTATATATCAATATTTACGCTCTAGCGCATTTCGTGTACGTATAAGTGCGATGAAATAGTTTACAGCTTTACAACATAACAGCACGGTTAGATGACAAAAATCTACTTTTTTTTACTAATCTACTACAGCGCTGACAGTACTACAAAAACTTACATGACATGACTCCATCATCGACCAATAATCCGATAAATTTCGTGATAAAAACAAATGTTTCCAGTTACAGTCCGCAACCCGTTTTAACTTTAAAGAGACTTAATAAAAATCACACTCTCCGCCAAAAACTAGCATTCATCATCAGATATATCACCGTCTGTTTCTGGATCACATTCAGTAGAATTAAGATAAGGAAATTGCCCATCGATCTCCTCCAAATTATGTTCTTCGTCTTGACCATTATGACAGTCTTTGCACCTACATAGATCGGTACATTGCAGGCCAGATTTTAAGCAGCCGCAGCGCTTTGTCTTACAACCTGATTGGCATTTACAATTGATATATTCAAGAAGGGACTCTGGAACAGAGGGGCGAGTCGTCCACACAATTTCTAATTGACCATTCTTCAATTTTCAACCATTTCCAGCTGCAGGGGGAACTTGTAATCGGGCTAGTAGGCACCGATTCCACGCAAGTGCTTGAAAGTTTGCTCTTTTAATGCGTTGCCGAAGGCTGTCACTATCTGGAGGAAGAACATCGTCGGAATACTTGCCTGACTTAAAAAGCTGGTATCTGCACTCATCAACACATGTTGATGTCTGATCGCCATAAAGAAGACAGACAAATGTACCCAGTGACACGACAAGCTCATCGGATACTTCAGCTGATCTTCCTAACTGAGAAAAAATTTCCACGAATCTCGGATTCATTTGCAGTGCCTTCCAAGGTTTTACTTTACCTTTGCCCAGGAATGCGCTGGTGGAATCACATCCTATAAAAAACAGGAAGAAAGAAACTGATAAGAAATAAAACCGATTTAGTCGTCTAAAAATAACTGATTTAAAATTTAGCAAACATTGCCTATGTATTAATTATACCAGAAAAAGCATGGAATCCTGGCAAACATGCGCACAACTCTTCATCAAGTACATTCAATATTGAAGAAATATCGATTAGACGAAATTTGTTGCCAGTTCCTGTCATCATAAGAAGTTCCTTGCCAATGGTCTTCTGCATAGCAATACAAAGTACAAACACATCTGTGTCTGGTGATTTGATGATGATACGTTGATGGGAAAGTGCTGCAGCCTTGTAGTGAAGGAGTAATATCGTATCTGCTTCCTCGTGGTCACACTCCAGCTGGGGGACTTCTCGCGTTGAAACGTGTTCGGTCTGGGTGGTACCAGATGTGATCAACAGGCATTTCTCTTTTCTGGTTACGTATATACAATCTAGATGGCTTAGAGACGAGGAAATGTAACTCCTCCAGTGATCACATAGGAACGCGATTAACGATTCCTTGTTTTCTCCAGAGCTTAAGTACTTTTTCCACTGCTTTGGAATGTTTTGGTCTTTGTTTAAAATGTGTACTCTCTGGATGCCTTGAGCAGCCCTCTTGGACCTTTCCGAGTTCTTGATACTTATTGCAGGGTACCTGTCAGCAACAAAGTCAAGTCTATTAGCTTTGCCTTGCCTTGCCTCGCCAGCTTCACCAAATAATGGAATATCGAATCCGCAAACTCCCCAAATGTTTTCCATTTCCCTTTCAGTGCTTGTAATACTGCCATGGCATCAACAATCAGTGCGTTATTATCTCTGGTGTTCATGATATTTACAGTTGGATTGTTGGCTGCTTCCTCTAGGATATGCAACATCTTGGCTTTCGATGTCTTAACAAGGCATCCTGTCACAGTAGCGATGGAAAGTGGATAGTCACTTAGACTGTACGAAAGTAATTCCTTCAGGTTGATCTCCCGGGATTTTGAAATCACTAAAAGTCGAGCAAAAAGATTTCTGTTTGTCTTAACAATGCTCTGCTTCCCTTTGCTGTCCTTCACCGTCATTTTCTCTGACGAAAAGGTTCTCAATTTGTTTTTCTTAATGTTGCTGAAAATGTCAGGGTTGTCGGTGAAAAGATTTGTCTGGCAAAAGCGGGAAAATTGATCTTCACCAAGCTGTTCTGCATGAAGAATACGGTCAGCGACATCACGTCCAACTTCAACGCCACTTGAAATGTTGACCAGTTCGACTTGGTTCCCCGTCAAACGGATTTGTCATGCTAGCAATGGTGCTGGTAACATTCTTTACAGATTTTTCATGCTGTTCGCATTTACTTGCATCCAGATCTTTTCTTTTCCTAAAAACACGAGACAGAATAAACACATGAGCAACATCAACATGGCTAGAGAAGGTAACATGAGGGGATCTTTAACTAACGGGTTAAAAGTTCTAATTTAAAACTGCTTAATATCCTACCGATATTTACAATTCATCCCAGACATAGATTTGCACTGTTGTGTAATTGCTGCTCGTTCCGATTGTGAAAGCAACCATCTGTGTACAGACGAACGATTCATAGAGAAACCGGTTAAGCCTCCTTTAGTCTTCGAATCACGGTTTACCGTTTGTTCAATGGTCTGATCACAGGCAACTGCTGAAAACCCGTGATCGTTCTGACGCTGAATTGCAAAGTTCGATGATAACTCGGGGAGAATTCCTATAATTGAAAAGGAAACATTGTAATACTGGAGAGCCTCAACGTTTCGAACTAAGGGCCTTCGTTGAATACCTCTGGTAATTTTTCTGGCAGTTATATCTATTTCGTAACTACTGCCCTATTCGTATATCAAATGACCGGAAATTCGAATAACAACCTGGGTGGGTAGTTTCCAGTGATGCCATTTCTAGCCAATAAGCCGATCCGTATCGTGCGTAGTGAATTTTGTCGCAGACAAAGAACCAGGGAATCATGGATCTAAATGTTGACATGTGTAAATCCCAGTCGAGTTGTCTCGTAGCACGGATGAACATAAGAAGTACTCCTATATATAAAAAGACCTATAATTAATATAGCGTACGTGCACGTATGTATTTCATCATATAAATGATACATGTATTAGAAGAACTGTATTTGTGATTAATAATTATCAACACATATTTGTAAATATAGGGAACAAAACCTTACCTGTCATTTTTATGTACATGCTCCAATAAGCGAATGTCTTTGATTTTGCTGACATTTCGACAATAAAACTTTCGTACTGCTGGACTAGATTATCAAACTGTCGACTTTCGACGTATGCCTGAACACCTTCGTTAAAAATCGAGTCACTCATATCTGCAATGAGCGAATATATGCCATGCAGAACATTTTCGTCCAGTGTGTCCAGAAAAGCTTCTAGTCGAAGACGTTGGAATGCCTCGTGCGCCACTTTATGACAAGATACCGACCTGTTATAATGTTTGCCTGAGAAAACACCTTTAACTGATCCCTCACCAGCTAGCCCAGACTCGATGAATATGTCCTAACAAATAAAAAATATAAATTATCATTTAAACAAGTAATAGGCTTATAGAAAATATCTACCAGTTAAAAATAACCTGTGTGAGCGTTTTGCCATGGATAATCTAGGAGACATTGATTGCGTACAGTTTTACTGAGTACATGGTAAATTCACTAACAGATGATGTATAGAGAATAAACTTACCTTCAAACCTCCATCCTGAAAGATCTTGGAAATTGCCGACAGAAACGACATACTTGTATGGAATTCACCAAGGCGCACAACAAAACGATTTTGGAAAGCTTCATTCTTCCACCGGACATGCTGTATTTTAGCGTACACTGCTTCGTCGAAAACAAGTGTGACATATCGCAGCTGTAATTTGTCAACTATCTCCTCGCTCTTTTTGAGTGTTGTATTAATCGTAGAATATTCGGTTGGGGGTGCGTCAATCACAGGTAGATAACCGACTCGCGAAACTTCTGGTATGTCGTCCTGACACAAAATAGTATTAAAACCTGTCCATCCAGGAAGAGTCGTCTCATCTGAAGGAAACATCTTTAGCAACACATACACTAAATCAAGTCTTTGTGCTTTCTCCCTGGAGGACGTCGTCGTTCTGTCGAGATCCAGAAAATGCGGCGTCTTTCTCGTTCCAATGGTAAACGGCAATATATCTGATTGAGGGACTTGCAAAGAACGCTGTGACTTTTTAATTCCTGTCATCCGATTGGGGGCAGTTGGATTCTCGCCGGTTATTTTCTGCGTTATAATGCCATTGGTCACATGTGTTTGTTCCTTAATATCTTCTTGGAAATCTATGTTATCATAAACTAAATTAATGGCTTCCTTGGCTACGAATCCTCTTGGTATATTGTCAGACGTGTTTATGGTCAATTGCGCGAGAGCTGTGTCGTATGCCATGGTAGAAGACAAAGAGACGCAATGTCCTAGACCATTTAAAATTGAGATCAGACTGGAACATCCGGAAATTTGCCGCACAGACATCGCAAGTGCTAAAGACCTTGGTGTCGGTGACTTGCCTTTGCTCTTGTTATAAATCAAGTCTTGACAAATGGAAAACACTTTTATGGTAAGTTTTTCATCCATATCAACGTATCTTGTCTCTTCAGGCTCATTAGAATAGCCAAGTATCCACGCAATAAAGTTGAAAAGAAGTGGTGGGACCACTTTTTTGACGCTGTCACCAGTTATATCGCATGCCAATGGAGGCCAATGGTTGAACCAGGAAGCACTGTTTTTGTTTATGTCCTCCCGTAATTCAAGTGCGACCAAGTAGAGATCTCTCAGCGTCATTCTTTGTTGGTCATTTGGTTGTTGAGCCATACCTTCGTTTCCTGCGTCTTGTTAATCTTGATGCTCTGTATCTTCCTCACTTCGGTCATCTGTTGTTAATGCCCTTTCTGCAACAGTTCCTTGATTGACATCTTCCGAAAAGACAATCTCACTATGGTACCGTCTTTTTGGTTTGTGAAACACAAGCTGTGGGAATCTCTCCTGCAATCTCCGTTTTAAACGAATCGTTTTGTATTGAGATGCATCCTCGTTCTCCATTTCCATGACTGTCTTTATAAATTTCTCTCTGAGTTTGCTCATGTAGAAAATGTTTTGATTTTCAATCACTTCTTTTTTTACCCAGGAAGAAAAGGATTCAAATGACTTGTTGAACTTATATCTTACTTCTTCTTTTGGGTCGGCGTGTCTTAAAAATGACGTATACTGTTCGTAACACCGCTTGTGATACTTCACTTCGAGTGCAACGCAATCATTTCCCAATATGTGAAGGAGAATGCGCTGATCATCTTTCTTTGTTGCTGCCTCACGAAGTTTCCCACCGTCAATTGTTTCTGAGGTAACCAGTTGGTCTAATTTGCGCTTCTTTGTTCTCTATGGGAATTTTAAAAACAATTTAACATATATTCTTGCATGTTTCATGGGGATAGAGTAGGTTTGATTTACAGTAAAAGTTAGGTATTGCGAAACGTGGATCGTACCAAGTTGGGGTTCTCGGTTCTCCCCTGTTGAAATGTTCGGGGAAAGAAATTTGTTGTGAAAAGTAATTTATCAATAATATGAATGGCTTACCGGATCGTTAATATATTTATGTTCTCCATTACAAATAATGCAAATGGATGGCAAAACGGCACGGTTCCTTGGTTTTACAGCACTTAACGTAACCGTTGAAGATCTTAAACTTTTCTTTGGAGGAACGGATATTGTTTCCTCGACTTGAGTAATCATATTTGTGTCTCCATTATTTGTAATCTCGTTATCTTTTTGTCTCTTTGCACATCTAGTCTGGGCACGTGTTATCAAAGACAGATTTGTAAACTTAGAGTAGCAAATTCGATGATAGTATAAATTACACGTGATGTTCGATGAATCGCCAGTTGTTTGAATCTCTTTAACGATATGCGTTGTGTTATCAGCAATCTCACGCTGTTCGCCGTCAAGTCCAAGCCAAAGTTCATGGCATTTCAAAAACGTTTCTAACGATATGTCCGTAAAGCGAGTAAGGAATCCACTTTCTCCTTTAAAATGGACTACTAACACTGAGAAGGCTATGAATGGACGTCTGCCATTTTTTGGCTTCTTTTTCACATATTTTTTCTCAATAATTCCGCCCGAATTTATTTTAACTGAATTTTCATATGTTTTTAAACCACATCTTGATAGGATGGAAATACTTCACGTTTTTGAATTTTATTTTAAAAATCAGTCCCGGTATCCAAAATACTGAGTTGAACATGAATTTTCATGATTTTCCCGCGTAAAAATCCGCGTAAAAACGACTGGAACTGGTACATTTAAATTTTATAACATGAAGTTTCCTCAAAACAAAATGGCGGCTTTCGATTTTCAGGGAGTGAAAATTCGTGATGTTTGATCGCAAAATACAAGAAAACTGCAGGTTTGTGCAAGTGACAACAACTGAATTCAAACTCAGCGTATAAAAATCTATAGAAATATGTCAAAAGAATTTAGTGCCCGAATGTGGACAACAAAACTAAACAAAAATCGGCTAGAGAATACGGACTATATTGCAAATTAGGGCATGAATTTTTACCCATTAGCTGGCAATGCGCCCTTCCTTAGTCCCTGCTTAGTCCAACGCCAGAAGATTTTACTCGTCAGTGGTATAGGGTACTGCCAGTAAATGGATTAACAAACCTATCTGCCAATGTCTCTTGTTAATCCATCAGCACAGTAATGCGCCCTACTTTAGTATTTACCCTGTCGGCCTGTCCAACACCAGACGATTTTACTCGTTAGTCGTTAGTGGTAGGGTACTGCCAATAAATGGGTTAACAAGGATAACAATAATAGGATATTTCTGAAGGTCTCGTTTAACACCCTGTGGTTTGGATTTAATTTGTGCGACACTACTTTGTCTTTTGCTGTCAAGGCAGCATTACTGCCCTGTGGGTAACCTAGTTTTAAGTATTAGCGATTTAGCGCAAACTGTCAGGCAAACTGCAAACTTCAAGTCGTTCAAGAATCAATATTTTCGAAAAAACAAATTAACGCGCTCTTTTTTAGAGTATACTTGCACGACACGGACTTTTTAAAATTGCATGTTTCTATACTTTATAGTCCCAGCGTCTTAACGCTCCGTGGAGCGCCCAGTTAATTGTTCGGAAGAAATCCGACGCTCAGAATGCAGGAAGTAGCATTTGAGAGGTTCAAATTTCAAAATATGCTTATATGTAGACTTTTGTCTTTCCAACAACAGGAACTAGAACCCCTTCGAGCGAGACGACAAGCGTACGTATATTTCGGTATAATAGTAAAGTCTCAATACCATGTCTTCGATTATCACCAGTATATTGAGTTCCACTGTGGGATTATTGTGGAACAAAGCCCGAGATGCGACTGCTAAAAAGCTGAAGGACGGTGATATTACAGATGCAAAACTTCGTGAAATAGTCGTGAGAGAACTCAACGACGTCAAAACCAAAATTGATGGTCTCTCGCGCAAAGATCTGCTCAGCAGCTACAGTTTTCTACAGGAAGGAGTACAGTTACTCATTGTTTCTCTGGATAAGTCGAAAGACGAGCAGAAAGCTGTACAAAGCAAAATTCAAGATGATCGCGGTCAAACGTCTAGAATGCCGAGAGGTGACGAGTCACTAGCAGATATCTTGAACAAAGCCTTAGAACTTTCTCACGTGATGGGAAAGCTAAAGATTGTGTCAAAAGACTCTGAATCTGCGAAAGAACGATTAAAAGATGCCCGTAAGGAAGCAACCCATGCGTTTTGTAATGAAGCATTGAATGTTCAAGACCGAATCTTTGCAGCGAAACTCCGTGTCGTTTCGGAGATACTGGAATGTCTCGACAATCTCGACACAGCAGCTACTTCGTGTCTGTGTTTTTAGAAAAGCTCCATGATTTATCCGCCGTTCGCGAGATATTTTCGGTGTATCTCGGTGGTGGAGTTAAGTCCATCTTCAGTAAGGCTGAACGAGTTGAAAATGTCAAATCTGTCATGATGATCAACTACGTTTTATATCAATTTGTTTTCAAATTCAGCAGCAAGTATTGTTCGGCGCTCGTCTGGCCAACAATTCAACTCTCTGATCGCAGTTTTAACCCAATATGGAATTGGCAGGAAGTTTCGGCAAGAAAATCTTGGGGCAAAGAATTGATCCAACCACACAGCGAAATGAAAGTCGTATCAAACATCGATCCGTATAATACTGCTATAAACAGTCGGGGCGAGATAGTCGAAGGGCATCATGATGACATTGACATCATCTCCAGAATAGGCGAAAGAAAAGTGGTTTATGAATTTTCCGTTCCGAGCACAAAGGATAAAAAAGGGGAGGTTATCAAAGAATAAATTCTAGATCTCGCTGTTGATCAAGAAAATAATGTGTATGTTGTTCTATATTGTGAAACAACTTCACAAAATGGCAATGTGGATAGCCATGTAGTATTATATATATTGAACGAACATTGCAATCGTGTAAAACACAAAAGCGAATTGCATTTTCTTCCAAAACACAAGAAATATCTGAGATTAGCTATAAATAAAAACAATAACATTGCAATGACACGAGTCATTTTCCACGACCATCATGTGTACGTCTGTGACCACACTGGGCAGTTAAAATACAAGTTTGAAATTACAAATTACAAAATAAATGAAATTTCTGGGCTTTTCTACATGAATGTTTCAGACAATAATGAAATCATTTTGGCATCATTTAGTGTTGTTGAAATATATACAGAGGAGGGAAATCTAAAGTTGAAAATAGAACTACCCGCAGGTCACATGGTCCGTGGAGTGGTATTTCACTTTGTCATTCGTAAAATAATTGTCTTATCCAAAGTGAGCGATTCCTATTTCCTCCATTGTTACTCTGAAACGGGTGAACTGGAGACCTCGGTGTTTTATTTGAATTACAGTATAGGTATATGGTTCGGATTAAATCTCATCCAAGTGGTCCAATAGCTATTCTTAGAGCGGGAAACATCACCTTCATATAAGGAGATTTGAAATTGAAATTGATCAAGTATAGTTTGTATTCTTTGTAAAAGCCTAAACTTTCGGAACTCATGGATTTATTAATGGTATAATATTTCACAATCTGCCTTTGAATTGTATGATCTTGTACTACGTAACCCTGAATTATGTATCCTTATATAACCTGGAATAATTTTATATTAAGTATTATTGTATACAGAAAAAAACTTTGAAAAATCCTAGTACGTAACAGTGGCAATATCAATGAGCAGTGAAGCAAAAAGTGAATTGCCAAACTTTTTATCACGTAATTTTTTTAGTTAATCAAAATTACAAAATGTAATCTAATACTGCAAGAATGTAAATGAATCTGATTTTATTTTTACCCAATGCGGGAAAGCTAAGCTATCCTTTGCTATTCCAGTAAGAGCCTCTGTCCCTCAGCAACGCTACCGCCTTAATAAAGGTACAGTGTTACTACAGGATGAAACCTACGTTCGGATTACGTACAAGTGAGGCTGAAGAGTAGCAAAAATATATAGAAAAATATCAGGATTTCGGGAATCGGCACTCGATAGACATAATTGTTGAAAGGTTTTTTGTAGATGGAAATTTCGTGTTTGAATTTTATACATTTATTAAACCTAACCAGTTGCGGAAAATACAACTACATGAGAATAGATCCCGAAATCCTGATATTTACCTATAAACCTTACATTCGGTTAGAGCCAATAAGACACTTGGGACACTGCTCCTGGTTATGTCTAATAAATGTATACGAAATATATAGATTGTTATAGTCTGATTGATCAATTATTTAGCTATTATTACATTGTCTATTTACACTGCACGGATCAATTTTATCAATGCACCTTTCCACAGGTACTTAGCCTTGGCTATAGAGCCTTGTTTTCCGCAAGATTGAGATATATCGCCTATTAGAGCCAACTTAAGCTTTATCTTGTTAAGCCTGGCGCACACTAGAAGTACTCAACATAGGCATTTTCTATTTGCATACAAAATAATTATGCAAATACATATGTTTATTGCTTTCTTTACTCGCACACTCGTGTACACAATTATTCAACATGTTGAATATTCGGCGAAAATGGCACGCGTGAGCAAAAGCTCTTCAAACGCCACCAGGGGAGGACCTTAGAATGTAGAGTTATTAAGTAACTTACAGGGATTTCAGAGGGAATTTATAGAATTTATAGACCTAAATTTTACGGATATTGGTCCAAAAATAAGGATCCCACCCATGTTTTAACAGGAATTTGTACGGAGAAATTTTTTTGACCCTCAATTTAACTGGTTTATGCCCCTCCCCAAAATAAAAATTTGCTGCAGGGCATAATCGGTTTTGACAGGGCAATTCTGGCAGATACCCCCCCTCGAATTAAAAGGGGCTAGTTTCGCGCCTGAACGCCACCGCACACTGGTGGAACTTGCATGCTTACCCCAATGGTCACGAGTTAATTTTTGCTCATGCAGCAGATAGCTCTCGTGTCTGCCAGGCTTTAGCGACGACTTACTATTATATAAATTAAGGTCTTTTATATTATCTAACATAACTGAATAATTTCGTAAGTGTGTCGCCGATAACAATATAAATGGCTCTAAAGCCGATATCTCAATCCCGAAGACGAGGCTGTTCAGACAACGCCGAGTACTTTCCGGACAGGTGTATTCTGTCCACACATTGTTTTACCTAGTTCAGTAAAAAACCGAAGTACCGGCGGATGAGAAAACCTGCAGAAACACTTTTCTCACACGCGAGAAAATTATAACCACACAACTTCAGGGAGCGGTTATACGAATACTGGATAGTTATTTTTAACGTTGGAAAAATACTTGAAAATCCATTCAAGGACGGATATGGACCTCATAATTAAAAGAAACTTTAATTTATAAATACTACAGTTTAATTTCTGTTATAATATAATCAACGGGAAATTTTAAAAAGTTTGAAAGATCCAATATCCGATGGACAACGCTATCTGGCTTTTGTACAACCAGCCCCATGATAGCTGCACATACTAGGCTGGATTCAAATTCCAGTCACAAAGCGTTAAAACACAAGCTCGTCCTTGTTGCTCATCCAACTTAAGCCTTACATGTTATGATCGGAAATCGTAGCAACTGTGACTTGAGTCACTGTCAGATTTTTGAGATCGCTATACTCTCTACCTTTGTCTACATACTTAAAGTGGAAGTCAAGTCCGTTCTGCGCATCGGTTCTGCTCAAAACAATGTGAGGTGAGGACCTCTTAATGTAAACATTGCCCAAATTTCGAATATTTCGAATTTTTCTGAACATAAACTCTATTTCATATTCATTTAGAAGCATAGCGAACCCAGGGACGTCGCGAAGGCATCAACATTGGGGGGTGTCGTCATGTTTTGACCAACATTTCCTAGGATTTTGACCAAGTCATAAAAAATTTTCCTGAAAATGTTGTCGACGGGAGGGGGTTAAAAAATTTTTCCGGACTAACATAATATTTTATCACCATGCAAACATACAAAGAACTTACAACATAAGCAGATTCAAAATTTTTAGGCCAAGATTAGCAAAACTTCCAATTTTTTCATCGCAAATGTAACAAAAGCTTTAAAATTGTTAAAATTGCGAACCATTTTATAACTTTGGGCAACTTCGACCATCTTTTATCTCAAACTTTGACCAAATTTTTCCCAGTTTTACCTTCAATTTTAAGCAAATATCAATTCCATTTTGATCAACTTTGGGCAAATATCACTTCCATTTTGACCAACTTTGATCAACGTTTGAATTATTGGGGGTGTTACACCCCCCCCCCCCCCCCCCCGTCCCTGAGCGAACCAAAATGGTGTTAGATATTCAGACAGTACATCATATTTAAAAACCTAAATAAACTGTTTGTATAATAAAAAGAGGGCTCCTTTGTGCACATGCGCAGATCGAACTGTACCGCATCTTTAACGGCGTAATTTCTGTAATCGAAAGCTAAGTTTTTCAAATTTGCCCTTTCGGTGGCTACGAAGTTCGCTAGTTGTCACGCGTGTAAACATGTAGTATTTCAGTCATTTCGCGATCAAAGTATTGTCAGTTTTAACGTAGGAAATATTCTGTAAAGTGCGCATATTTTTCTTAGAGTTGAGCGGACAACGAATACTTTGTACTCGCAGATTGCAAGCACATATTAAATGACAGTATATACTAGCTGTAGACATAGTGACACACCACAAATAGTGTAGGTTAGTGTACTTATGTAGCGTGAATGACAAATGCATTTCAAAGCGTAACACAACATAAATATATCCTGTAACATCTATATTTGGTAACTTGGGTTTTAGTTGACTATTAGCGCAAACCAGGGGCGGCGGAACAGGGGGGGCTAGGGGGGCTAAAGCCCCCCCAGAAGTAAAAGTGGGGGGGCTTAGCCCCCCCAGAAAATTTGAATTTTTGGAAAAAATTGTGAAAATTAGGGAAAAATTTAGGTTATTTTTTGAAAATTTAGGTATAAGGGGCCAAATTTGCAATATTTTGTTTAAAAAAAGCGTATTTCCGAAAAAAAATTTTTGATATAAGTCCGGAAAAAAATTTTTCGTCCCTTTTTTTGTATATTATACCCCTAAAGTGGTACACTACTGACCGAAATTTTTTTGGCGACGGAGGGGGGGAATGGGGGGGGAGGTCGCCGAAAAAAATTTGGAAAAATTTTTTTCCTCCGAAATTTTTTTGGCGACGGGGGGGGCCGAAAAAATTTAGCCCCCCAGAACAAAATCTGTTCCGCCGCCCCTGGCGCAAACAGTAAGCTTCTTCTTCCACAAGACAAAACGCGCTGTTGGACAAACACGATCAGTATCGGCGAATTCAAATTCCATTGTGACTAGCTAGGAACTAGAACCCCTTCGAGCGAGACGGCAAGCTCTCGTATATTTCGGTTTATACAGGGTGTCTCCAAAAAACCAAACTACAGTATTGAAATAACGTATTGTCAGAATTTGAATGCTTCGACGATCAGGACTCTGCTAAACCCGCAAGTGCATAAATACTTGACATAAGTAAATTTTATGCATAAAGAAACTGTTTAAGAAGCCGCTTTAAATTCCCAAGAGCAGAAAATCGGGGGCTTTACAAAGATATTTTAATTTGTTAATAAGTCAATATTTGTAATACAGTATATGCACCCTTGTCAATATTTTACGCATCTTTGCGTTCAGCTTAGTGCTAAGACATTCAAATTCTAATACGTTATTTCAATACTTTGGGTTTTTTTGGGACACCCTGTACTGTAGTTTATACAGTATACCATGTCTTCGATTGTCACCGGTATATTGAGTTCCACTGTGGGATTACTGTGGAACAAAGCCCGAGATGCGACTGCTAAAAAGCTGAAGGGCGGTGACATTACAGATGCAAAAATTCGTGAAATAGTCATGCGAGAACTCAACGACGTCAAAACCAAGATTGACGGTCTCTCACGCAAAGATCTGCTCAGCAGCTACAGTTTTCTACAAGAAGGCGTACAGCTACTGAATGTTTCTCTGGATAAGTCGAAGGACGAGCAGAAAGCTGTGCAAAGCGAAACTCAAGATGATCGCGGTGAAACGTCGAGCTAGAATGCCGAGCGGTGACGAGTCAGCAGATATCATGAACAAAGCCTTAGAACTTTCTCACGTCATGGGAAAGCTGAAAATCGTGTCAAACGAATCTGAATCGGCGAAAAAACGATTTAAAGATGCCCGTAAGGAAGCAACCCATGCATTTTGCAACAAAGCATTGAATATTCAAGACCGAATCTTTGCAGCGAAACTCCGTGTCGTTTCGGAGATACTGGAGTGTCTCGACAATCCCGACACAGCGGCTACTTCGTGTCTGTTGTTTTTAGAAAAGCTTCATGATTTACCCGCCGTTCGCGAGATATTCTCGGTGTATCTCGGTCGTGGAGTTAAGTCCATCTTCAGTAAGGCTGAACGAGTTGAGAATGTCAAATCTGTCATGATGATCAACTACGTTTTGTATCAATTTGTTTCGAAATTCAGGAGTAAGTATTATTCAGCGCTCGCCTGGCCAACAATTCAACTTCCTGATCGCAGTTTTAACCCAATATGGAATTGGCAGCAGGTTTCGACACGAAAATCGTGGGGCGAGGAATTGATCCAACCACCCAATGAAATGAACCTCGATAAAAATATCAATGTGTATTATTCTGCTGTAAACAGTCGGGGTGAGATAGTTGTATGGGATGATAATAACATTGAGTTCATCTCCAGAACAGGCGAAAGAAAAGTGGTTAATCAATTTTCTGTTTCGAGCAGAGAGGATAAAGAAGGGGTGGTTATCAAACAAGAAATTCTAAGTCTCGCTCTTGATCAAGAAAATAATGTGTATGTCGTACTATACTGTGAAACAACTTCACAAAATGGCAACGTGGATAGCCATGCAGTATTATATATATTGGATGAACATTGCAATTGTATAAAACACAAAAGCGAATTGAATTTTCTTCCAAAACACAAGACATATCTGAGATTAGCTATAGACAAAAACAATAACATTGTAATGGCACCAATCATGTCCCACGACCGCCATGTGTACGTCTGTGACCACAATGGGCAATTAAAATACAAGGAGGGAAATCTAAAGTTGAAAATAGAACTACCAGCAGGTCACGTGGTCCGTGGAACGTCATTTCACTTTGTCATTCACAAAATAATTGTCTTATCCAAAGTCAGCGGCAGCGATTCCTATTTCCTCCATCGTTACTCTGAAACAGGTGAACTGGAGACCTCGATGTTTTGTTTTAATTACAGTAAAGGTTTGGCTCGGATTAAATCTCATCCAAGTGGTCCAGTAGCTATTGTTAGAGCAGGAAACATCGCCTACATATAAGACTATTTTCTTTGTAGACCCTCAGAAAACGTGCTTGAAATTGATCGAGTATAGTTCGTAAATAATATTATATTTTAACTAATCTAGTTTTAGTAATTTGAGAATCTAAACTTCAGGAACAGGATTTATTAATGGTATATAATATTTTCTAATCTGCCTTTAGGACTGTATCAACTTGAATTGGACGCAACCTTGAATCATGTATCCTTGAATTACAGTATAACCTTGACTAATTTTATAAGTATTTATTTATTGTATACAGAAAAAAAGCTTTGAAAAATGCTAGTATGTAACACTGGCAATATCAATGAGCAGTGAAGCAAAAAGTGAATTGGCTAATTTTTTATTAATTTTTTTAGTTAAAAATTTAATTTAAACGAAATTATAAAATTTAATCTAACACTGCAAAAATGTAAATGAATCTGATTTTATTTTTACCTCATGCAAAGTTCTATCACTTCTAAACTGCCTTGACTGTCCCAGTAAGAGCCACTGTCCCTCAGCATTGCTAGTGCCTTATTAAAGGTGTAGTGTTACTACAGGCCTAGGAAATCCTAGGATGAAACCTACCTTGCGATTAATTAAATGTTTGAATGAGGCCGAAGAGTAGCTGAAATATATATAGATAAGTATCAGGATTGTGCACATCTACACTCGATAGAACTAATTGTTGAAGGGTTTTTTATAATTGTTTTTGTTTGTGGAAACACCACGTAAATTTATTGCTGCAAGGCTTTCGATCCGTAAGCCCGGATCTTCATCAGTGCTAATAATAGGGTTTTTTTATAGATGGCAATTTCAAGTGTGAATTTTATACATTTATTAGACCTAACCAAAAGCAGTTGCAAACGCTCTGCCGAAAGTCGTGTGTTTTCCCCGGGTACTCCAGTTTCCTCCCACAGGGAAAGTTGACAGGGTGGGTTGGGTAAAAGGGCCCACAGTAAATGGCATATGCTGTTGTGTGATCCTGCTCTAGTTGGCAAAGCTAAATAAAATAAAAAGGCAATTCCGCAATTACATGAGTATAGATGCCCAAAATCCTGATATTTACCCATATCCTTTATCTTGTTGCCGCTGACTTAATTATATACTGGTGTTTTATATTTAACAAATATAAAACATTTTCCGTGTTGATATACAGTTATACCAACACGAGTGGAAATTGGGAAAACGAACTTTTCACACAATTTCGAGTTTTCCGACCCACAACGTCGAGTTTTCACACAATTTTCGAGTTTTCCGAGTTTTCACACAATTTCGAGTTTTCCCAATTTCCACGAGTGTTGATATAACTGTTATATCAATACGGAAAAGGTTTTATATTTGTTTTATAATATATAGTACAAAGAAATATAAGAAAAAAAAATCCTGTTGACATTGAGTTATAACTGTTATATTAACACACATTGAGTTATATTAGCAAATCAGCGTTCAGAATTTACACTGAATGTTATATTATAATATCTATAATATAACTGAATGATTTCGTAAGTGTGTCGCCGATAACAATATAAATGGTTCTAAAGCAGATATCTCAATCCCGAAAACGAGGCTGTTTAGCCAACGACGAGTACTTTCCGGAAAGGTGTATTCTGTCTACACATTGTTTTATCTAGTTCAGTGTTATACTACAGCAAGAAACCGAAGTACCCGACGAGAAAACCAGCAGAAACACTTTTCTCACACGCGAGAAAATAATAACCACACAACTTCAGGGGCGGGTTATACGAATGCTGGATTTTTCTAACTTTGTCTATAAGTTTAAGGATGAAGTGATCGTTATTTCTAGATGTAAGCGTCTCAAACATTTGAATGATTTAAGTTGAATATTTGGTATATCCTGTGATTTGCGATTAGCATTTCTATGTCTTCCGTATAGCGCAGATTTAGATGTGGACATGGTCAAATGCAACAGGTGGGCAATTTGATCGTTATTTGTAGATGTAAAAGCGTCTCAAATATTTGAAATTTAATTTCAGCATGCATATACACCCATCGTCACATTTTAGCGTTATTTCAACAAAATCACCAAATAATTACCAATATAATTATCTCAAAAATGTAATTCCTGAGCTGCGAAAGTTCAAAGCGTTGGGAAAACTCCGCACTTGTTGAATACTTCGCATATCATGCGATTAACGATTAACATTTCTATACTACAATAGCGCAAATTTACATGTGGATATGGTCAAATGCGCTTTACATCAAGTATTACGCTTACCTACCTACTTACATACTTAGCCTAGATTATTTTCTCTTTACAACAATTGCGATATTACTTTCTTAACTGTGTTTATCCTAACCCACCCAGTCAACTTTCCCTGTTGGAGGAAACCGGAGCACCCGGAGAAAACACACGACTTTCGGCAGAGCGTTGACGGACTCTTTACACTGGCCTGTAGGCCAAGTGTCTTAAATCCCTCTTTTTCTGTTTTTTCGTAGTCGAGAAATCGAGTTTGCGTTAGCTCATCGCAGGTTCAAGGTGCAACGATTAAGCCAAAATGCCATCGATTCCCTCTGTTCCATGATTTAGATAGTATAGTAATAAGCTCGTATATATGTACGTAATATATGTACGTAATAGCCGACTCATGCCATGCTTGTGGTACATTTTTCGTTTATTAGCCCATACACTTGTACGCACGCGCACAATTCCGAACTCCAATGGCGGCTTTTCACAGAGTGATCAAACTATATTTTACACAGTTTCGTTGAATTTTCAAAGAATTGTGCCGGTTTCTTATGGATTTTACGTTGTGTCGTACTCTGGACTTTCTTGCGTGTTGAATTAATGTGTTTTTCTTTGTGTAACGACTCGAAAACCACAAAATTTGGACCCAACGAATTTATACAATATATAGAAGGATATTTAAACAAGGACAAGTTAAAGGTTTGACAGTTTGACTTTTTAATAAACAACTATAAATATACGTCGTGGACTCATAACATCCGTTGTGTACTTGTGTTAATTCTTGCGTCGCACTCTGGGCTTTCTTGCCCATGTTGAATTAATGTTTTCTTTTTGTATTAATTAAACGACTCGAAAACCCCAAAATTTCATAAATTTGTACCCAGCGAGGCAGCGAATTTATACAATATATTGGAATATAAACAAGGTCAAACTCTCCTAATTCTTTACGATAATTTTAGTCAAATGTCGACAATATACCTTTAAATACATGGATTAAAATCCGCGCAGTACTAGAATTAAGAGAATTCGCGTAGCGCTGGCCGCTGAAATTTTAGTACTGCGCGAAATATAATCTGCGCGAAAAGCTTTGTGGTAGCTATACTAAAGATAAAGCGCGCGTTCAAAATACCAACAAGAACTAGAACCATTACTGTATGGTTCTCATTTGCTAGACTTGTCGACCTCGAAGAAGCGCATTTCATTCGAGGTCGACTTGTGGCTAGTGGCAAGTCTACTCAATTGCCTAATACAATAACATCAGTTCGACGCGAATTTTAATACAAGTATGGTATCATATTTCATAATATAACAAACAATGTAAACTAGCCATATATTTTGCCGAACTTAACTTCGACCCCTTTGGACATATCTTTTTCGTAATAATATTATTGGAACCAGAATCGAAAACACTATTTATAGTGTTATTTTCAAGCTTGTGTCTTGAGATTTTCTCTCTCTTGATCTTTTATTTCGGTATTTACAGAATATTTATATTTTTAGCGCGGCCCATGGAACGTACATCAAAACAACGCGCTGTTAGGAAAAACCGAAAATCGATTCTGTAGGTCGGCATGATTTGCACGTGCATCGATCGAGGTATAAAAGTGCGTGCGATTAAAAACCCGATATCTTGAAAAATTCAAAATAAATATTCCTTACTCTGTGCCGTATTCAAACGAAACTTTGTACATGAAAGCGCTTGAATACAAGATGTATTTTACTTACATTGACTCTGATGAAATTCTGAAGAGTTACTAAAGAATACTAAAGCAGGGTGCATTGCCTGTTAATGGGTTAATAAGAGACATTGGCAGATGTGTTTGTTAACCCATTTACTGTCAGTACTCTGCCACTAACAAGTAAAATCGTCTGGCGTTACAGTGTAAATTGGTCTGGCGTTAGTCAGAGTTAATACTAAAGTAGTGTGCATTGGCAGCTAATAGGTTAATAGACCTTAATATCCGCTTTTGACCCAATGGCTTCATTTTCATATTGGCTATTTACTCGTATTCCGTGCACACAATTTAAGAATGAGTTTGTGAACAGGCTTAAATGATGAACGAGAAGGAAACATTGGGCCGTATAACCGAGAATTGTCTAGAAGTATAAATTTTTGCATTCAGTTCATACGCCAAAAAGGCAGCACTTTCCTTGCGATAGTAACTCCTAGTTATAGATTTGCACCATTATATTAGTCCATTACGTCTCCCGAAACGGTCTTTTATTTTTTGAAAATGTCCATAAAATTTGCTTGCGGTTTAAGATTTGTATTCCTGCCTTTTGCACCATAGCACGTATCTCGTTATTTTCAGGCCAGTGTGAACGCCTGAGCAGGCGTCTTGTTTCAAATGAGTCCGTAGCGACAATCGAACCCACGAACTCAGAGGTGAAAGGCGCTTGCTCTGACCCTGACGACGGCGCCACCGAAGACCCTGCGGCGATAACCGAGAATTCCTTTTGAATTCCTCCAAGTTTATGATTTAAAGACCATGTAAAGTCCGTTCTGCGCATATGTTCTGCGCAGGCTTACATTCCAATGGTCGGTACCCGACCATTGGAATGTTATTAATATTTCGCACATTTCGAACTTTCTTGAATTGAATCTCTAGTCTGTATTCATTTACAAGCATAGCGAACCAGAAGAGTGTTAAAAATTCAGTATAATATATATCTAATCATATTTTACAACTGTAGCACTGAGTTCAAAATGTAAACAAAGCGTTTGTTTACATTACGGACTTTACATGGTCTTTAAAGTTTGGAAAATATTCGAAAAATGCGATTGCGATTTTGAGCCAAGGTCCAATCACAGGCAGACATTTTGTCACGTGGCCACACTTCTCATCATATAACACAGGGTTAGCAACTTATACTCCAATTTTGGTTCCAACATTATTGTGGATGCAGCCTGGTAAAAAAAATGTGAATCTCGTATAATTCGGTATAAACGAAAGTTATGAGACGAAACAAAACGAACCAAACAAAATAATAATAATAATATTTATTCAAGAAGCTCCACTCACCCGAGTGTTTTTCAGGGAGGTCCTGTAATATATATCTATATTATACATGGTATTCGTAAACTATACGTCTATGCTTATTTAAAAACTATAAAATATTTACAAGTGAATTATATATACTTCATAGTTAGGAGAAACTCAACTTAATTAGATAAATTGTTTTAGTTTGGATTTAAAGAGATTAAGATTAGTAGATTGTTTCAGTTCAATAGGTAAAGAGTTCCATTCCGATACCGAGTGATAAGTGAATTTCTGTTTTCCCCAATTCGTACGTGGGCGTGGAAGGTAGTAATTGTTATTCTGGCGTGTTTTATGGCTATGTATACGGGAGATTATGGTAAGGTTAAAATCAAAGTCGACTAGATGGTTAAGACATTTAAAGACGGAGATACAACGGTGGTATTTTCGACGTAGGTAAAAGGGTTTCCACTCTAGAGTTTCAAGGGCTTCGGTAGCGGAGGAATGGCGAGGAAGATCAAGGATAAGTCTCGCAGCGTTATGTTGCAGAACTTGAAGGTGGTTCATTAGAGTGGAGTTGTTTTTATCTCCCCACACGATATCACTGTAGTCCAATAGAGGGAGGAGTGGAGGACGAGGCTGTTGTAGAGGGTGAGTCTGGCTTGAATAGGGAGTAAGAATTTTATGCGGCGAATGAGACCAAGGCGTTGATTAAACTTCTTGCTGATGTTGTCGATATGTTCTGACCAGGTTAAGTTTAATTTGATGAATTGTAACTCCTAAGTATTTGAAGGAGTCAATTCTATCAAGTGTGGAATCGTTAACCGTGATGGAAACATTGTCAAATTTTGCAACTTTGCGAGAACTTCCGTAAATTACAAATTTACACTTGGAGACATTAAGTGTCAGAAGATTGTCGTTAAAAATCTGCATAAGTGTTTTAGATCGGAATTTCATTTCATTTCAAGATCGCAAGCATTGTTTGAAGAAAAATATATCACGGTGTCGTCAGCGTATAAGGAAATTTCACAATGGTTGATACAATAAGGCAAATCATTAACAAAAATAAGAAATAGTAGTGTTAGCCAGGGCGGTAAGTTGATTTCTATTGCTTAGGTATGACTTGAACCAGTTGACAGAATCATTGGAGAGACCAGATGAGGCAAGCTTTTCAAATAAAAGAGAATGGTCGACAGTATCAAAGGCTTTAGCCAGGTCAAGAAAAACAGCTCCGGTTACTAAACCTTTGTCCATATTAGCCAAAATGGTGTCCGTGAAATGTGCGAGCGCAATCTCAGTGGAAAGTTTAGGTCTGAAACCAAACTGTCGTGGTGTTAGTACTTTATTGTCAATAAGGTAGCGGTAAACTTGAGAATGAACTGCTTTCTCGAGAAACCGCAGAATGCAACGGCGTAATTTCTGTAATCCAAAGCGGAGTTCTTCAAAGTTGTCCTTTCGGTGGCTACGAAGTTCGCTAGTTGTCACGCGTATAAACATGCAGTATTTCAGTCATTTCACGATCAAAGAATTGTGTTCAGTTTAACGTAGGAAATATTCTGTGAAGTGCGCATATTATTCTTAGAGTTGACATATTCGGACAACGAATATTTTCTACTCGCAGATTGCAAGCACATATCAAATGACAGTACAGACATAGTCACACAAAATTTATGATTCCACCGCAATTAATGTTAACTTATGTAGCGTGAATGGCAAATGCACTTTAGAACATAATAAAACTAAAATATATTATGTAACGTCTATGTTTGGTAACTTGGGTTTTAGTTGACTATTCGCGATTTAATTAATTTAATTATTAACACAATTTTTTCTAATATAAATATCTCGGCGAGTATTTACCCCCCTTTTAAATAAATACCACCATTGTAATCCTCACAAAATAACCTTTCAAACGGGGGGTCAAGTGCCGTCTGAACATTACACAAACCGAAACAATCATATATTTACTCACCGCTTGGCCAAAGATTCTAAATTTCATATACAAAAGATCTTGAATATCTCTTGAACATTTCGTCATTTGATGAACGGCTATATGTGTAAAATACTCTTTGTATTCAACAAGGGTGGGTTGACTACAAAATTTTTGTAGTTCGCTATAACTACAGCTACTTCAAAAATATGTAGTCAGCTACAACTACTGCTACTTTTGAACAAAGGTAGTTCCCTACTGACTACAGCTACTGCTTAAAAAATGTAGCGAACTATTTCGCTATTTCGCTACTCTATATTTTTTAGTTTTACGGTATTTGGAGCATCCACTAGCTCAGGCTGTAATGTAACCTATAACAAATCGACTTACGAGTAGCAACAGTAAACAAAAAGGGTCAAAGCAACATTTTTGCAAGCACTACAGTGTTCAGGAGTGCCACTTTTCATTGCGCTACAATCTCTACTGTATAAAATAATCTTTTAAGCAAACCGTGTCTTAATATCATTCTATTCTATGAACGGTTGCTAACAATTTTAAAAAGTAGCGAATAGCGATTCGCTGTTTGAAAAGTAGTCAACTATTTGGCTACTTTTAGTCAAAATGTAGTTCGCTATAACTACAACTACTGTTTTAAAAAAGTAGTCAAAAACTACAGGCTACTTGAAAATTGTAGTTCGCTACAGTAGCGAACTACAACTACTTCGCTACTACCCACCCTTGGTATTCAAGCGCTTTCGTGTACAAAATTTTGTTTGAATACGGCGAGTAGAAATATTTATTTTGAATTTTTCAAGATGTCGGGTTTTACTCGCACTTGCGTACATTGCGCAATAATTGGCCAATAAGAAGCTCCTGTAGCCGGGATGACGTCAAACTCACGCGTGTAGGTGCAATTTGACCTTGCGAATCCATTTCTGGCCTTTCCAGGGTCATACGATACAAACGCCGCATTGTTTTGACGGTTTTCGGTCGTATTTCCGGTTGGGATTAATTCACTTCGAGCTCACAGTCGGACAAGAAATGGAAATATATTGATAAAAGATACAGATTTGAAGATACAGGCTTGCAAATAACACTCTAAGTAGTGTTTTTAATGGGGATTCTAACAAGACTATTACAAAGACGATATGTTCGAAGGAGCCGAAGTTATTTTCGGCGAAAGGTACGGCTAGTCTATATTTTTGTTCAGACAATTGCGTAATTTGATACAATATGATCGTGTTTGACTTTCAAAGGCCCATAAATCGCTACAATGTTGATAATGACTATAACCATGGGGAGGAATTAGTTGAATCTTTTATTTCTGAATCGAATGGTGGTATTTCTGTCTTCATAGCATGCACTGAACCGAAGATATTAAATTTTTTGCAATCGTTCAGTGCTGAACGACGACACTGGGCCGTGGTATACGATGTTTATTATTTGCAAATAGCAAACTCCCTTTAAGTATTAGTGCAAACTGTCAGGCAAACTGCAAACTTCAAGTCGTTCAAGAATCAATATTTTCGAAAAAACAAACGCGCTATTTTTTAGTTGTATACTTGCACGACACGGACTTTTTAAAATTGCATGTTTCTATACTTTATAGTGCCAGCGTCTTAACGCTCCGTGGGGCGCCCAGTTGTTCGGAAGAAATCCAACGTTCAGAATGCAGGAAGTGGTATTTGAGAGGTTCAAATTTCAAAATATGCTTATATGTAGATTTTTGTCTTTCCAACAACAACAGGAACTAGACCCCTTCGAGCGAGACGACAAGCGTACGTGCATTTCGGTATAATACTAGTCTAAAGTATAAACACCATGTCTTCGATTGTCACAAGTATATTAAGTTCCACTGTGGGATTATTGTGGAACAAAGCCCGAGATACAACTGCTAAAAAGATGAAGGATGGTGATATTACAGATGCAAAACTTCGTGAAATAGTCGTGAGAGAACTCAACGACGTCAAAATCAAAATTGATGGTCTCTCACGCAAAGATCTGCTCAGCAGCTACAGTTTTCTACAAGAAGGAGTACAGTTACTGAATGTTTCTCTGGATAAGTCGAAAGACAAGCAGAAAGCTGTGCAAAGCGAAACTCAAGATGATCGCGGTGAAACGTCTAGAATGACGAGCGGTGACGAGTCAGCAGATATCTTGAACAAAGCCTTAGAACTTTCTCACGCCATGGGAAAGCTAAAGATCGTGTCAAGCGAGTCTGAATCGGCAAAAAAACGATTCGAGGAAGCGCGTAAGACAGCGACCCATGCGTTTTGTAACGAAGCATTGAATATTCAAGACCGAATCTTCGCAGCAAAACTCCGTGTCGTTTCGGAGATACTGGAATGTCTCGACAATCCCGACACAGCAATTACTTCGTGCCTGTTGTTTTTAGAAAAGCTTCATGATTTACCTGCCGTTCGCGAGATATTCTCGGTGTATCTCGGTGGCGGAGTTAAGTCCATCTTCAGTAAAGCTGAACGAGTTGAGAATGTCAAATCTGTTATGATGATCAACTATGTCTTATATCAATTTGTTTCGAAATTCAGCAGCAAGTATTGTTCGGCGCTCGCCTGGCCAACAATTCAACTCTCTGATCGCAGTTTTAACCCAATATGCAGTTGGCAGGAAGTTTCGACAAGAAAATCTTGGGGCGAAGAATTGATCCAACCACCCAATAAAGTAAACCTCGATATAAATATCGAAGTGTTTAATACTGCTGTAAATAGTCGGGGTGAGATAGTTGTATGGGATGATAATAACATTGAGATAATCTCCAGAACAGGCGAAAGAAAAGTGGTTCATCAATTTTCCGTTCCGAGCACGGAGAATAAAGAAGGGGAAGTTATCAAACAAGAAATTGTAGGTCTCGCTCTTGATCAAGAAAATAATGTGTATGTTGTACTTTTTTGTGAAACAACTTCACAAAATGGCAATGTGGATAGCCATGCAGTATTATATATACTGGATGAACATTGCAATCGTGTAAAACACAAAAGCAAATTGGATTTTCTTCCAGAACACAAGATAGGTCTGACATTAGCTATAAACAAAAACAATAACATTGTAATGGCATCAATAATTTTCCACCACCGCCATGTGTACGTCTGTGACCACACTGGGCAGTTAAGATACAAGTTAGAACCTGAAATTTCTGGCCTATACTACGCGAGTGTTTCAGACAATAATGAAATCATATTGGCATCGCCATTATATCTTAACGACGCTGCTGACGTTGCTGAAATATACACAGAGGAGGCAAATCTAAAGTCGAAAATATGCCTACCAGCAGGTCACTTGATCTGTGGAGTGGCATTTCACTTTGTCATTCGTAAAATAATTGTCTTAACAACAGTCAGAGACAGCGATTCCTGTTTCCTCCATCGTTACTCTGAAACGGGTGAACTGGAGACCTCGATGTTCGGTTTTAATTTCAGTGGAGATCGTATACCTCATATTACATCTCATCCAAGTGGTCCAGTTGCTATTGCTACAGAGGGTGGAAACATTTTTTACGTATAGTCCCCCATGCAGAAAACATGCTTGAATTTGACCAATTATAGTTCGATAAAAGTACATTATATTTTAATCTAGTTTGAGAAACTAAACTTCAGGAACTGGATTTATTAATGGCATAATATTTTACAATTTGCCTTTGAACTGTATCACTTTGAATTACCTAGCTTCGAATTGCATACAGAAAAAAACTTTGAAAAATGCTAGCATGTAACAGTGGCAATATCAATGAGCTGTAAAGCAAAAAGTGAAGTGCCAAACTTTTTATCACTTAATTTTTTTAGTTAATCAAAATTATAAATGTAATCTAATACTGCAAAAATGTAAATAAATCCTGATTTTACTTTGCACCTCGTGCAAAGCTCTATCACTTCTAAGCTCTCCTTGACTGTTCCAGTAAGAGCCACTGTCCCTCAGCATAGGCGTCAAAAGATCGGAAAGTGGGGGGGACCATATTCATATATTCGTGTTCTGCATTATTAATTTCTTTTGAAATCAATTGTTTTTACGGTCTGTGAACACGAACATATGAATATGGTCCCCCCCCCCCCACACTTATCGATCTTTTGACGCCTATGCCCCTCAGCATCGCTACTGCCTTACTAAAGGCGCAGTCAGTACCACAGGATGAAACCTAGCTTGCGATTATGCTCAAATGAGGCCGAACAGTAGCTGAACTATATAGATAAATATCAGGATTTTGGACATCCACACTCGATAGAACTAATTGTTGAACGGTTTTTTTGTAGATAGAAATGTCGTGAATTTTATACATTTATTAGACCTAACCAGTTGTTAAAAATGCAACTACATGAGAATAGATCCCCGAAATCCTGATATTTACCCATGCACCTTACATTCCGTTAGAGCCACAGAGTACACTTTACACAATTTACCAGTTTACGGCTAGACTTTCGCAAAGTCCTTTTCAAATGACGTCACCTTTGCATCCCTCTCAGTTTGCCAGCTTGTAAATAATATGGCAAAGTTCCGAGGCGGACTTGTGGCAAGTCTAGTTTACGGCTAGCTTTCAACCGTCTTGCCTTGGTGACCTAATAGCCTTAGTTCAACCTGATTTCATTCGTTCTTGTTGCACCAACAAAAATACGTTAATTCATAAAGAGTAAGTCCAGAGTACAACACAACATGAAAAACACAGTACAATTCGTCAATTCGGAAAAAAATTAGCGAAATTGCCAGAAATATTATTTGCCCACTCATCACGCAACCGCCATTTTGAAACTGCTTGCACACTGAACTGTATAGGTCACTGAAGCATGCTTGCAAAACCACCCATAATATCCATATATAAAATACCCCGATATACAGGGTGCATCAAAAAAAGGTAATCGAACTTCAGCGCGCAATTGTATCTGAATTACTCGGCGCATGACCGAGATTTTTTTCATGTTGGGAAAGACCAGGCTTTTAGCTGTTGAATGATATGTTCTTCATGCCAAATGGATAAGAAATGAGCAAACATGGATCCGATAAAAAATGTTAGTCAGAATCGCATATTTTCACCGTTGAGAGTCGAGTCTAAAACCATTGAAAATTAACCCTCCTTAGGACTTAAGTTGATGAATTTCACTTCATTAAACTACGCACATATTCATAATTATTATCAAGTAGGAATAAATCTTAGCTAAGCTGTGACAAGTTCGTGCTTAATGGCTTTTTCTTTTGTTATGCACTGCTTTAATTATAGATACAGAGGTGAAAATATGCGATTCTGACTAACATTTTTTATCGGACACGTACTTGCTTATTTTTCTCCACTTGGGATGAAAAACATGTCATTTAATAGCTAAAAAGCTGATCTTTCCGAATATGAAAACATTTTGTTCATACGCCGAGTAATTCACGTACAATAGCGCACTGAAGTTCGATTACCTTTTTTTATACACCCTGTACATGTGGAATGTTCATTTTGTGACATCGTAAAGCCGGACAGACAATTAGCATTTTAAAGCTTCCTCAGGCTATGCCCGACGGAGCAATAAACCTCTTTCAAATCACACGTCATTCACACCACACCCCTTCTTAAAGAAACCTCTTTCAAATCAGAACAAGCGGCCGGACATATGCATGATTTAGCAATCATAAATCAAAATTGCTTCATGTACAAAATCTCATTCAAGCGACAAAAAAGGTTATGGGTATTAATACTATAGTTTCGATACCATGTCTTCGATTGTCACCAGTATATTAAGTTCCACTGTGGGATTATTGTGGAACAAAGCCCGAGATGCGACTGCTAAAAAGCTGAAGGACGGTGATATTACAGACGCAAAACTTCGTGAAACAGTCGTGAGAGAACTGAACGATGTCAAAACCAAAATTGACGGTCTCTCACGCAAAGATCTGCTCAGCAGCTACAGTTTTCTACAAGAAGGCGTACAGTTACTGATTCTTTCTCTGGATAAGTCGAAGGGCGAGTGGAAAGCTGTGCAAAGCGAAACTCAAGATAATCGCGGTGAAATGTCTAGAATGTCGAACAGTAACGAATCAGCAGATATCTTGAACAAAGCCTTAGAACTTTCTCACATCATGGGAAAGCTAAAAATCGTGTCAAACGAGTCTGGATGCGCGAAAGAACGACTCAAAGATGCCCGTAAGGAAGCAACCCATGCGTTTTGCAACGAAGCATTGAATATTCAAGACCGAATCTTCGCAGCGAAACTCCGTGTCGTTTCGGAGATGCTGGAATGTCTCGACAATCCCGACATAGCGGCTACTTCATGCCTGTTGTTTTTAGAAAAGCTTCATGATTTACCCGCCGTTCGCAACATATTCTCGGTGTATCTCGGTGGTGGAGTTAAGTCCATCTTCAGTAAGGCTGAACGAGTTGAGAATGTCAAATCTGTCATGATGATCAACTACGTTTTGTATCAATTTGTTTCGAGATTCAGCAGCAAGTATTATTCAGCATTCGCCTGGCCAACAATACAACTCTCTAATCGCAGTTTTAACCCTATATGGAATTGGGAGGAAGTTTCGACAAGAAAGTCATGGGGCAAAGAATTGACCCAACCTCCCAACGAAACGAAACTCGATAGAAATATCAATTACGTGTATAATATTTCTGTAAACAGTCGGGGCCAGATAGTTGAATGGGATGATAATGACATTGAATTAATCTCTAGAACGGGCGAAAGTAAAGTTGTTAATCAATTTTCTGTTCCGAGCACAGAAGTTAAAGAAAGGGAGGATTTCAAACAAGAAATTTTAGGTCTCGCTGTAGATCAAGAAAATAATGTTTATGTTCTACTATATTGTGAAGCAACTTCACAAAATGGCAATGTGGATAGCCTTGTAGTATTATGTATATTGGATGAACATTGCGATCGTGTAAAACACAAAAGGGAATTGGATTTTCTTCCAAACCACAAGAGACATGATCTGAGATTATCATTAGAAATAAACAAAAACAATAACATTGTAATGACACCAACAAAGTCCGACGACCACCATGTGTACATCTGTGACCACACTGGGCAGTTAAGAAACAAGTTTGAACATGAAATTTCTGATCTACACTACATGAGTGTTTCAGACAATAATGAAATCATGTTGGCATCATTCTTGGGCGACGTTGTTGAAATATACACAGAGGAGGGAAATCCAAAGTTGAAACTAGAACTACCGGCAGGTCACATGGTCTGTGGAACGTCATTTCACTTTGTCATTCGTAAAATAATTGTCTTAACCATGGTCAGCGGCGGTTATTCCTGTTTCCTCCATTGTTACTCTGAAAAAGGTGAACTGGAGACCTCGAAGTTCTGTTTAAATGACGGTGAAGACATTCCTCGGATTACATCTCATCCATGTGGTCCAGTTGCTATTGTTAGAGAGGGCAGAAACATAATCGATATATAAGGAAATTTTCTATGTAATCCCTCAGAAAACGTCACTTGAATTTGATCAAGTATAGTTCAATAAAAGTACATTATATTTTAATATAGTTTGAGAACCTAAACTTTAGGAACTGTATTTAATAATGCTATAACATTTCACAGTCTACCTTTGAACTGTATAACCTTGAATTATGTATCCTTGAATTACATAACCTTGACTAATTTTATAAGTATTGAAAAAACTTTGAAAAATCAGGGACGGCGGAACTGGGGGGCAGGAGGGGCAGCCGCCCCCGTTGCCCTTTACCAGGAGGGGCAAGGGGGGCAAAGGTGCCCTTTCAATTTAAAGGATTGCCTTGGCGAAATAGCGAATTGTCAGAAATGTTATTGCAATTCTTTTACGAATTTGCTTCAGAAAACGCAATAAATGCAGTCATCGAGCTTCACTAATAGCGCAATCGCCTGGCGGAGTACCCCCTCACACCAATAAATATAGATAGATAGAGTACACCCTATCATCCAATAAATAGAAAACATGATTAGGCACAGTACAACTCCAGATGTTTTGCAAACATCTCTTAGTATATATCAATTCAAAAGTGCCCTTTCACGACAACCTGCCCCCTTGCCTTCACATCGTTCCGGCGTCCCTGTGAAAAATGCTAGTATTATATGTAACACTGCCGGCTGTGAGCAATTATTTAACACTATTTATTCCATTGCACGGATATAGTTTTATCAACACACCTTTCCACAAGTACCTTGGCTATCAGTAGAGCCTTGTTTTCAAAATTAAGTGATAACGGCTATTATAGTCATTATAGAGCCCTTTATGCACGTTGTTATCGATGACTTAATTATATAAAGTATTTTGTATTAACGAGGGCCAGGCTGTATATAGCCAACGCTGCGAGTACTTTCAATGTCCGATGGACAACGCTATCCGGCTTTTGTACAACCGGTCACATGATAACTGCATGAGGCTGGATTCAAATTCCAGTCACAAAGCGTAAAGACAAACTCATTCTTGTTGCTCATCCAACTTAAGCTACGTTTACACGCTGCGATTAATCGTGTACGATTCGTTTTCTGGCGTATGTCATTGAGTAAACACGCGTAAGCTGTCCACATTTGAAATTTCTTTTTAACGAATCGGCAGTGAATTATGGCGCCAGCATTCATTTAAAAATCCCAAAATACGAATCGTACACGATTAATCGTAGCGTGTAGACGTAGCTTTAAGCCCTGCATGTTACGGTCGGAAATTGTGGCTTGAGTCACAGTCAGATTTTTATGGACCCCCATATCCACTAATGGATATGGACACCCAGGGGTCCATATCTACTAGTAAATACGGACCACCGTTGGCGGATTTGGACCCTCTTCAAAAGTTAAATATATGTAATGTGAACACAACAATATAAACCAAATTCAGAATGGTGATCAATCTGAAGTATTTTATCACTTTAAATATTTGTGATAAAGGCCACAAAACGTAAAATAGAAAAATAGAATGCAGTGATAGAAATTTAATTTCGCATTTGGATTGACATGAAACACGATTTTCCGGAATGTTTTTAAACAATAATGGAAGCCTGCGATTATCCACTAATTGTTTTACACAAAAACCATAGAAATAGCATACTATAGTAAAGCAACGCGACCATGAATATTTTTAAACAATAAGTGAGGGTGACTCATCTAAATCAGTGGAAGCCTTTTTTAACTATTCTGGTGATATAAACGTCATATTATATACATAATACATGAGTTTTTAGTAAACACTATTTATCCTTTTATAATTGTATACATACTTTCGTAGGACCTTTCTAGTTTATTTGTAGTTTAAGATTTTTGAATTTGGATCTCACTGGCAATAAAAAAACAATGTTTTCTATTCACAATAAATGATTATGTGTGGTTGACAAGTAGCTCCGGGTATCTGAAAACTAATGAATTTAATATATTAACCGTTATCGGGGTTGTTTTTAGCATACAAAAATGTTTTCAAAAAGGGGGCCATATCCGCTAAATGGGGTGCATATCTACTAGGAGGTTTGACCCGCTGTGACAAGTTCGCTAGGTGTCACGCGTGTCAAAATATCCTGTGACGTGCGCATATTTTTCTTAGAGTTGAGCGGGCAACGAATACTTTGTACTCGCAGATTGCAAGCACATATCAAATCAAAGTACTAGAAAATACATGCATGCCGAAACCCTCGCCTTGCTGACAAAAACATTGCGGTATTTTCCGAACATGAAGTATCTAAAGTAGTTGTCATGGTAACACGATAATTTTTTAAGAATATT